AGTTAATTATCCGATCGAATCGTTTCAAGAGTTTGTTAAGTATACACGCACTTGTACATCTAGTATCGTTTTACAGAGCTAGATCGATGCAATGTTTGTTCACGGTCGTTCAAGTATCGTTCGGGATCAACAATTAACGGCAATCGCGAGCCGATACCGACACGTTTAACCTTTTACTACACGTAAACGATAGTGGACAGCTATTAGAACAGTTTACATTTCGATAACGACTGCTCCAATTATGGAACGCTCGTAGCATCCGATGGAGTATGCGTTAAATAGAAAAAGTACATAATTGTTGCGCGTTCGTTAAAAGTGTAGGGATATGCTACGAATTTGTCGAACATCGAATATCTCCAATATTTCTCGTTAGAAAAAGTAATCCTTTCGTTCATACTTACAAGGATAAACTCGTGGTCCGATCCAGGTTTCGAAGCGGCTCCTCTCTTATTATTTCGTTCGTCTCATTAAGAAATCCGCTTCCGTTGACGCGGGCTGCTCGATGGAAAGCGAGGATTAACGGGAACCAGAAACCGGCACGGAAATGCGAGGAAAGAAGGGAAATAAAAAAGAGGAAGGGGTCGCGGAGGGGAAAGAGAGACGGGACGTTATTTCTGGGTTCGGAAAACACGGAGTACGCGTCTGGTCCGTTCCTGCCGAGCATCAGAAATATCGACGCGGACTGTTTTTCGAGCATTGAAATTCTCGCGGCGAACTGTAATTCCGTTGGCGGAAAAGACAACGGGGCGAATCGAAGATTCACGGAAGTCGTTGAAAAGAATGAACCCGACGATAAATCGATTTCATGCTCGCGTTACTCGCGATACGCTCGAGTGCAAATTAATCCGGTAAACGCGGCCGAATCATCCCCGAAGAATCCTCGGCAAAACGTTGGATAATCGTGAAACTCGATGCGAGAAGCCTATAGGCTATAGACGATTAGACGATTCTAACTCGCTACGCGGGATTTCGATTCGCAGCGAGAGTTTTCATCGTTCCCGTTCGAACGTTAAATGTTTTTGAACTCGAAAATTTTGGAATTCCGAATTCTTTACATTTTCGAGTTAATGATCTTAGGCATCGAATCGAAACTATTTATTACGCTTTTAGAACGTTCAGCGCGTTCGCGCCCGCTCGAGTAAATTTACACGTAACGGAGAGACGACGAGATTGAAAGGGGTCGTAAAATCGCTGGAGCGTGAAGGAACACGAAATCCGATTGCCGAACAGCAACGACATTGATCGATGTCGCTTCCTAATGATTTAATTTACGACTTTGCCTTATCTCGGCTGTGCCGCACCTGTTACCCGAACGCGTTAAGAATGCGAGTGACGAAAAATTTGTGCACGATTAATTATTGAGAGTCGACGTAAAGATAATACGTTTACCTTTTCATTCATTATTCGTAAATCGATAAACGATATCAATAAAGATGCGAACGGTCGTTATCGCGAAAAGCAGACACGCTGAATTTAACGCGAGCGACATTACCCTCTTATCGTATTTAATCCTTCCGCTGTCTGGTACTCGATAACGGTGAATCAACCGTTGACACCCGATGAATAATCGATTTCGTATTCGTTTCGTCGCGTATTCTCGGTGTCGCTATGCTTTCGAGTGGCAAACGATTTCGGTTCGATCGAGTCATTCGAACGATTTATCGAGCAGAATCGAGCGTTTGCATAGGTAAAATTTCGAACAGCTCGCACATCCGTCGTGAGTCATGCGTCAGGCGCTTCTATCAGTCTCGTCGAAGGCTCCCCTCCAGTTACGACTATAATTACGAAGTTTAATCGACTAACGAGCACGGACGGGGACCCGAGAAGCAGTGCAGAAATGGAGCTCTGATTGGTCCATTCGACGAACCCGACTTGCTTCATTCATGTTGCAATTAATCCGAAAGCGTCTAGCTGCTGGATCAAGTGCCGTCGACGTACAATGTTCCTTGAACTTTCGACAAAGAAAGTAGCATTCTCCCGGTGTAGGGCTACCAACGATCGATATTTGATTCGAACACAACCGATTAATCCGTGGTCGATGCGGCCCGTTGCGGCCAAGGAATTGCTTCGTGAACAATCTTTGCTTCAACTTTCGAGAGGATTTACCGAGGTAGCTTAGCAGCAAAATTATCGAAAGTTTCGATGGTCGAGTAGATTTAGGAAATTCCAATAACTTCCTTTTTAAGCTTCGTTATTCGAGACATTGATTGTTAGAAGATAAGGAACATCGGTAATCGACGCTGCATACTTAATATACAGTAGATCTCCGTTATATCGCCGTCGTCGAGGTTGGACAAGCGATTTTTCAGCGTGCTAATCGATTCTGAACAGATCGGAGAGCCACTGAACGAACCGGTCGTCGAATCCAGCCGAATCTTCTCAGGCTTTGTGCGATATTTCCCTCGGGTCAGGCTCCGGGACACATGTGAAATCGGGATAAACGGCATGGGAACACCAAGAGCAGATCCGCCTTCGCATATGCCTCGGCTCACGCACGCGTGTACGCGCGTTGTACACCGAATTAACGACGACCTAATTGACCGTCGCTAATTCTCTCGTCCTCGACGCTTCTCCCTCCCTTTGCTCCGCTTCGCTCTCAAGTTCGACGATGGACGTCGTTAACGCTCTCGCAAATTTTTCTTTCTTCGATGTTGGAACTTTCGATTCGGGAGGTTAATTACCGTGAAAGCGAACGGGACCGATTATTAAACCGTATACCGAACATAGAAAGTCCGGCACGATGACATAAAAGCACCACGCAACAAAACTTACGACACGTCAATTTCACGTTTATATTCTTTGCACAAAATAGCTTAGCGATCCGGTATATTCTGGTTGGCCTTTCATATGGAAACGCTTCCTTTCAAAGTATCCTGTGTTTTGTTCTATGTTGACATTGCATTGTTCACGATATGGCGCAGCAAGAGAGTTAATTATCGATCCATTTGTAAGCGTCGCGGAGTTCGGATTGCGTTTAGCAAGATGCTAGGTGGATAGAAGCATCGAGTAGGTAGATACAAGTGGGCGAACTAAATCTTAAAGAGAATCTTTCTCTTCGACGAATTTATTTTATCGCGTGTCGTGCTGTTATCCAGGATCCTACCGCAACAGCGCTTTGACGGATTTTGGATTTCTCTCTAGGCAGGAAATTAACGACAAATCGAATGCCATAACCGACGAGTGACCGACTTTAAATCCATCGGATAATCGGGAAGCAATTATGGGTTCGCGTGGAATCGATCAGATCAGAATTAAATGCGTTTGCGGTCATGTTGTCGATGCAGCGTGGAATCACAGTTCACCGGACGAGAAAAGGTTTTTCACGATTCTCGAGAATATTTGTTAGTTGACAACTAAACGCGCAGATAAACTTTGACGAGTCCCATCGCGACAGGATTTTTGTCGCGAGAGGAATATTTGGTCGGATTCGAGAAGATTGCAGTATCGGCTGAGTCAACAGCTTAAAAATATTGGAATTACGAGCGGCAAAAGAAGCGAAGTATCTAAACCAGGAACGCGTGCCAAAATAAATAAGAGAATCGTTCTGTGTTCTTTCGCGACGAGTCGGTTTCGTAAACGGCTGGAAAGCATAGTTATCGGCGTTTTCGTAACAGTAAAACCACGAAACGACAGGGCGTATTACGCGAGAATTCGCGTCATTTGAATTTAATTACGCACCGCAGAAGCCAAAATCGAGCCGAAATATTTGCGATGCGTTCGTGCCGTCAGAATTTAATATTCCTCACGGTCTGATGCGTTACACGAATGGCCGCAAACAAACGACAACGTGGCTAATTTGTCTCTGCCTTTGCGCGTATAATTATCGCCGTTTATCACGCTATTTTGTCCGGTTTGCAGAATTTCCAGCCAAAATCGTTAATGCGGTGTTTCGTTCGTTAATTCGAGTTCCGCTCAAAAAAGGTCGGAGGTGTTTGCGTAAAGATATACGCAGGATCGTTTGGCCCACCGCTTACATTTGGTCAATCTTTTTGCGAGACCGCTCTTTTTCTCTTTCGTTACTCTTGACGTCAATCTGCGTTCCCATAAACGGTGTGCACATGTGCTCGCGTTTCGTCGGTTCCGTTCGCGACATCTCCATGATTCGCTGTTTGAACCGCCAATCGAAATCCCACGATGACCCACTTTTTTCCACGGTCGATACCGATGCTGCGAATCGGCTTACGCTCGATCGCGTTTCAATGCCGTTACGCATTTACTCGTAACGTGTAGAATTTTCCACGGAAACATTCGTTAATAACGATGTTACGAACGGACACGAACATCTACGAAACGGTACTGTGATATATGTCACCTGACTACGCTCACGTTCGCCTTATAATAACAGGATAAACGTATAGGTCAGACAAGTTCCTTGATAGACTGCTCCGAACCGAAAGCAGGTGACACTCTTGCCCGAAAGAAGCCCACGTTGCAGCCGGGTGTACATGCCGCGAACGAAAGGTTTCTTTTCTCCCTTTGCCTTTCTAAACATCGAGCATCGCCGCCAGGCATGAAACCGGCAAACGCGTTAGGCAATAATTGCTGTTCATTTGATACCTACGCTTAAACTGCCCACGCTCGAGCGTGTATCCGACAGAATGACGAATCGCGAGCCAAGCCCCTCTTCCATGTATTCGACTCCACCCGCTCCGGAACGTAACGGACAATGCTACAGTTTCGACGATCACTGGAAAGTTGTCAACTTTAACCGTGAACCAGCCGATGGGGAATCGATAGTTCCGGAAACGGAGGTCAAAGTTGGTCGAGAAAATTGGACGAGTGGCCCTCGAGGCAGCGAGCTTTCATTGTTCGGCTCGATGTCAAGGACTTGTCCCGATGTAATTAGGGAAACGCCTCGAGTTTTGTTTGCCGGACCCGTTTCCGCTCGCAGATTTTAAACACAAAAGCGTACCCTCGGGTCTTTTACCGATCGCGACCGAGATATACGCCTTGCTACGAACGAAACGAATACTTGTCTAACGATCTTTGCTCTGTTGCAGGACCGTCCCCGGATTTCAGCAGACACACGCTGGTTAGACCGCGGATATACCACGGAAGGACCAAGCGACAAATCTCGTCCACCAAAGAAAGCGTGAGTATCGATAGACGAACGCGTCAGAATCGAAACTGTAATTAGCTTAACAGCTAACATACTGCTATTCGATTAACTTAATGTACTCTATAGCTGCGTGCACGCAAGCGACTTAGAATGCTTCACGCTCGGCGCCGACGGCTGCAACGATTTCGATGCAAATGCGGCGTCGCGACGCGAATACGGAATCCGGGCTCGCGACAGGTAGGTCGCGAGTCGAGAGGGCGCAAGAGAAATTTCCCTCGATAACGTCGAAGATGCCTGAAGCGACTACTTCCATCGCGATCTCCTTCTACGCGCATTGCGTTCGTCAGAGGCAGATGTTCCAAAGAAGCGTTTTGTTAGTCTGGCTATTTATAAATCGATGAATCCTTTTAAACGCGGTCTGCGTCTGAAATAAAGCGAACGAGACGGAGTATCGTTGTTTGTTCGGTATTTCTAACGACATCGAGAAATTACTTATGCGGTTAACGATCAACGTAAGATCGTGTCTGAATCGAGTCATTAAACTCGTTGACGAAGCAAAACTCGTATAATTTTCTTCCTTTCGATCGCGTTCTTTTTCAGTGCATGTACCCTCGTCATGTCAATGTAATCTTGTCGTAATGTCGTCAAAGCGTCGACGTAATCATCCTCTTTTCGTGTCCGTTGCTCTCGATAGATCTCGAACGCGAAGAAAGAGCGGTACGACGTTGTCGAGTATAAATGGAGCTCCGATCAGAACGCCAGTCACCAATGTCCCAACGATTCTAACATCGATACGATAGAGAAGCGTAGATCGTGCGAATCGTCTCGTTGTCTGCTCTATCCACGTGCACACGATTCGAAAGCACGTCGAGCAGGATGCACGCGGTTGAAGGTAAACACGGCCAATAGAAGCGAGGAGCAAAGTTTGACCGATGTTCCAGCAGGGAGATAGCTACTTGCCAGCGTGTTCACGGTACGCTGCTATTTACAAGCAGTTCAGCAACGTTAGCATAGTCTGGCAGGATAAATAAATAGTGGGTTTCTCGAATACAGTTACCTATATGCGTTCCCGCTTGATGCATTATGCGCTACAAAACGCTTTCACGCTTTGATTATCGCATCATCCCTGTTTAGGTGTCTATTGGATTACCAACGCTTCTGTCGAGTACTCGAGGTGTAGATAGTAAAGAAATTGACAAGCCAACGCGTTAGATTTGATCATAGTAAAACGCGCTAAAGAAACTTCGGAAATTATAATTATAGCACGAACGTTACACAGCTTCGTTTTCAGTGCGGCACTCGCGCGTTAAAATGGTACCGCGACCGAGATCCAACTTTACCTTGGAACTTATCGTTGCGAGAACCTATCGCGAAGAAAATAACGCCTGCAGTTGACACGGTTACGGGAAAACTTTTATGGGGAAGCATTGGCCACGTTTACTTGTAACGTTGGCAATTCGAACTCGCTGAAAGTCCATTCGCGACGGTGAACCGATACGATAGAAGTGGAAATTGAAAAGAAGAGAAAAATGTAATCGTTCGGTTGCCTAATGCGATGTAGCAGCGATCTAAGCACCGGTACGCCGTTCTCGGGACACGAACGAAGTAAGGCAATTGACCTCGTTTCTCGTTATCACGAGGAAGAATGAACGCTATCAGTGCGTCTGTCCATGGCGACGAATCTAATTTCCTGCTACATAGGGTCGCTTACCGTATGTCGCAATTCCCAGCTGATCTCTGCGTTCACTTACGCGTAAACAGAAACATCGTTTCTCGGTCAAACTTCCCTCGTCGCTTTTTCGCAAAACCGTTCGTATACATACGTCTACATTACTACACTGGAATTTTCGGTAAGAAACCAAGGAACAGCAAATTTATTCGTTTTCGAAGGGAAACGAAGGTAGACCAAAGTGAATAGAGAGTAAACCGTGGCCAATAAGCCGATCGAAAAGGTTCCTCGATAAACCCTCGCCGTTGCTCGAGCCTGATTTATCCGTGTATCAAGTTCGAACTACTCGACGAGGCTATCCTCGTCGACGGTGTAACGGAGTTGCAGGAAAGCAGCGGGGAAAAATAGAAGAGAGAGGAAAATCAAGGTAAAGAGATTGTTGTGTATGTTTCCTTTTATCCGGCTTGCAAGTTTCCGGCCACAAAGGGAAACGGTGCAGTTGCTCTGTATCGCGGCGTACACATCCTGCATGGATGGAACGCGTTTCGCCTCGGAACGCTCGTGTGTTCACGATGAGACGCGCGGAGGAAACGACTCGGCGCGCGTTAAATGCGTCCAATTTAGACGAGCTACGATAGAAGCGTTCAGAAGTGCTTTTCGGAACACGATTATACGTCGTTCGTATCCTTTACGAGGTAAACGATGGAAAGAATTGAGAGGAAAAAGGAAATTGGCCATTCTTTTTTTCTTACCGAGCAGTCTTTGACGAGTTAACTTTTTGCCTGATTACTTTTTAAACGGCTGTAACTTTGACGCGAAGATGTTACAGTTCTTTCGAAACGGATAATCTTTTCGTGTTTTCGACATGAAATTCTCTTTTCGTAACCCTTCGAACATAGTTGAATCATCTATTAAACTTGGCCTGATCGGAAGTGCCATAAATTTGCCTATTTTCTATCCACGGTTCTCCCCTCGTGGATCGCGTTAATCGTTTCCAGAAGCGGCGCGGCGAACGGTCTCTCCGCTCGTATCAAAGGCGTCTAGGACACGAAAACGACGCTTGCTTCTAGCATCTCGGGCTAGAACCGAGTCAAGATTAAAAGATGCCTTTCATCCTATGCACCAGACACAAAGAGCCTCTCTGTACGTTGCGTACATTGTGCTTCGCTCGCCGCTAGCTCGTTAACTACACGAATTTCCAAGAAAACTCGTCACTTGGAATAATTAACGGAGCCCTTGCGTGGCTTAACGCCGTAACAATTAGCGCCAACCACCGACCGCGATTCGTTCGATATCGAAGTCCGTCAATCTCTTTCTCCCTCGTTCGTCCAATCTACTCGAATCGTCGACAGATTTCGCCACGTCGGTCCTCGACGCACGGCTGTTTCGATATTCACGCGATATATCGCACTAAAGAAATATTGTCGCGCGCGAGCGTAGCTGCACCACCAGATACGATAAAAAACAACGAATCGTGTTCGGAAGAGTCGCGAGCCTGTACGCGATTAGTTTCGAATCAGTTTATTTACGCGATGGCGTTTCCCGAGTCGTGGATTTCAGATATTCCAACCACGCGAAGAGGATGCGGTCAGGATCGACGATAGATGAATCCACGGATTCTATCATCGTCCACCGACAGTCAGCGATCCAAATCTGGCTGGCTGCCAATTCAGGAAACGTTTCTCGATATTCCAGTTGCCATTACGGCGTGACCCGCGTTCATTCCGTATCGATATTCAGAGAAACAAATGTATCCTGGGGTCAGGGTTTCTCTTTCCCCCGTTTCAGCCAGCGAATCATGGAAGCCCGACAATACCCCGATCGATTGTTCTCTCGTTGTTTCGACAACGCTGAATTACTAGTTCGTCAATTTATCAAAATCTTTTTTATCGATCCAAGGATTTTCCCCGTTTCGTTCGACGGGAGTTTCCAAGGAAATTCGGTTAATGGACGCGATACGAGGAGGAAGAAAGTTTTTTCCTTATGAGAGAAAGGAAGTCCGAAATTGTTAAGAGATAAAAGTCATCCTACTTTCGCGATGACCGCGCCCACCGAGCAATTTTCGCGAAGCTCCCTGGTTACACAGCGCTGTCCTTGGTGGTAGTCTAGTTTTGCGACAAACGAGCCGAGAACACGATAGCTTTCCGAAACTGTTTCTATTTGCTGGAACGCCGCTTCGCGTTTCCCACGGGTATTTTATCAAAATTTCATTATTTTCGTTGCGACTTTCCAAGCGAGTTACCTCAAAACCCCTTTTACACGAGTCGATTTTCGTTCAATTTCGGTACGACACGAAAAACGACACCTACTCTTTTCGTTAGCTTGTAATCTCGAGTAGTGGCAAATGTACGAAGACGTAGGTTCATAACTTTGTGTACATTTTCTTTTTGGCGAGAAAATCGTAACCATCGACGTACAAAAACTTCTGAATTAGGTTTTCCGACCCTTCAGTCTTGCTATTCCCCCGAAGGCAGTTCGTTCCTTGGATACGTCCGTAGCTACGCGGTTATTTCCTGTTCGGGGAGAAATGGACCGCCGGGGCGTGTATCCCCGAACGAGTATGAATTAAACATAGGGTGGATTCGAGGCAGCGAGGGAGGTCGTACAAACGGGATTCGTAAATTCATTTGGCTAGTCGGCACGCGTTTGTCGAAAAAAAATGAAAATAAAATTCTATTTCCCTCGAATGGAGCGCATATAAATTTTTAAACGGTCGACTTTCTGGTTCCGCGATCAACGCTGGAGTGATCGAACGAGTTCGCGTGTAAAAATGCAGTCTGAAAATTCGATTAAATTCGATGCAACTCGAAAGCGTGCCCGATCTCCCTTCGCGAAATAATTAGAAAGCGAGCAACACAAACGAGCCGAGCATAATTACTACCATATCGTCGTACCGTTGGCTGTGAAAGTATTTTCTAGCCGCGTAAACCGATCGAGAATCGAATCGTCGCTCGACACGGAAGATTCCGATTTTTATACGATCGTTACCAACGTATTTCTTCTTTTATCTCGATCCTGAAGCTTTTCTAACCGTATGCTAAGCGCAACAGGTGCATAATGTCGAGCTTCGATTATAATACGTTCGAGAACCGATTCGTAGAAATTCCAGATCGACAACGCGCGATACGGATGCAACTTTTTCCGTCGCGTAACGCCAGGAAACTAACTTTTCGTCCTTGCGTTTTCAGGATATCGAACACGCGGACCTGTTAACGGTAGGCTTCGAGTTGGACGGAGTAAAACGAGTCCTGGATCTCAGGTTGAATACCGATCTACTTCCGGTTGGTTATCAACAGCGTTATCAACATCGCGGCACCTATAAACTGCACAACCCATCGAAAAATGTAAGTATATTTCTGTAGCATCTTTCGAGCGAATTAGAAGAGTTCCCTGAATTAATTTGGGGAGAGCCTCTTCGAGTAAGCTTCGCAAACGACTCGATAAGAACACGCGTACTGCACGAAAACATGCTGACGTATCGCGTCTCTGGCGAAGTCAGAGTAAAACGTTAAGAATAATATTTGTCTTCTGATCGCGGTTTATGCGCGAAGACTTGGAACGGCCTTAAAAGTAACGAAACGAGCAGAGAGCGGTTAAAGATTGTACGTTTCAATTAGTAAGGCAGTGTGCAAAGTAGTTGGAAATTGTCCGGATACGTTGGTCAAGTATAAGAACGTCAGAATCGATAACGGTGACTCACTGTCCGAGCGTGCGTTCCCAGGACGAGCAAGCATAAGCGGGCATGAACGTTTCGAGAGTATCGATCACTCTTAAATAACGTTTACCGGTAACGTGTACCGCATACCGAGACCGAGCATCGGTTACGCTTCACCTTTGGTTAACCGTTCCCTGTTTTCGACTAACCTTCGTGACGTAGAATCGTTTTTCAGTGGAAAATCACGTTCGGAGGTGGCGGAAAATCGATCGAGTAGGAAACGAATCGTGCGACACGGAACGAATAACGTTTCTATTTACCTTTTCGACTCTTTTTCGAGACAATAGTCGCTCGATAATCCTCTGGTTTCGAGATTTTAGATGCGAACACACCTACTATGTGACGCGGAATTATCGAGGATCAAAACGTCGCAGTTGGAAAGAAAGCAAAATAAAAATGTTCGGCAAAAGATTATTTTAAAGCAATTTGTATTAATAAAGTAACTTTTCACGACGTGTATACTATACGGTATTTACGAGCGAACAATTAAATTACGCTCGAATTACGAAGTTTTCTCGACAGAATTTTCCGTTCCTTTCACCTCGTAACAATTCGTATTTTCACGAATCTCCCATTCTCGTCGTGAATCACGCGAGAAGAATAACAAGCTTTCCACGAGGCGCGAAAAGTACGAAGGAAAGAACGAAAGAAAAATGGCTGTCCACGTTTTTTAACGATTCAAACACCAGCCATTGATATAAATTTTTTGCGACTCGCGTTATTTACGGTTAATGGCCACGCATAAAACATCGCCAGGACGTGTTTTCATCGAGCCGAGGGGCGAGTTCGTTGCGCTCCGTTGTCGTCGGTTCCACATTTTACGCAATTGAATAAATGAATTGGCGCGTCCAGTTGCAATATCTTTCTCTTTCTCTGTGCAGTTTATCCGGTCTCTCGGTGTCGAGCGGACGAGCTAATTTTGGTCGTTTAAACCAGGCAAATTCTGCGAATCTAACTATGTAGTTAGAATGCTACTTAGAGGTTTCGTACTCCAAATGAAAGTAATTATTACCATTTGTTCTCCTTTGTCTGCCATCCCGCCTTCGCCGGTTGTTTTGCTAAAGGAAACTTTGCTCGGTCGAGGACCAATTTATATTATTTTTCGTTTTATGTCTGTCTGAAATTCTTTCGAAATATCAAGTCAGAGGCGCATCGCGTAGCGATCCGAATATAAATGTGTACACCGATTAAGCTATCGGAGCATCCGAGGAAAAATACCTTGCCAAACGGCAATTGGGCTATAAAGGATAATTTATGTCTCGAGCGAAAAGTCCGACGCGGAATATACGTAAGCCGAAGAAAGCGTTAAAGGAATTTCTGAAAAAGGTCGCGTCGCGTGATAAATCGGTTTTCTCGCGTTTCGCGATTACGTTTGCATTTCGAAACGGCGTGGATCCTTGTTCGGGAGAAAGGAGCAAAAGGAATATGAAAAAGCGAGTGGTCGGCCTGGCCCAGGAGAATCTGGGCCAACTATATTTGTAGCGGGTCGAATGCACGAGCGAGCCGTGCTACGCGTCTCGAGAATTCAGGATAAGTCGTGGAAAATTCATTCTCGGATTTCGTCGGTAGGCGACAGGAATCGTTTTTAGTCATCGTTTATTACCCGCATCGTTAATATACATACGCGCATATATCGTTACGATGCAACAAGAACCGCGAATTTGTGCGGAGTTTATTTTTGAAACCGTAAAAAATAGTGCATCGAAATTTTTAGGAGCTCTGCCACTATCAAGGCAGCGTTCGAGACGTTCCTGGCTCTTGGGTAGCATTGTCCACTTGCAAAGGGCTGCGAGGCGTCGTTTTCGACGGAGAGAACCTTCACCACATTCATCCGGAGAAAGAATCCCTGGATTCGGACCATTACGTCTACAGGCACAAGGACCTGGTCGCCAATCACACTTGTGGTAACTATTCAAGTTGTAATCGCGATCATTTCGAATCTCTATAATTTCTGATTTACGAACTTACCAATTGCAAAGTAACTCCCAAATGGCTAACACGATCGAGAGGATTCTCGGAATTTACGATCCTCGTGTCATCGGAGTTTATCGATGAACTCCTGATTCATAGCCAATATCCATCCGCGAGCTTATCGCGCTTCCTAACGCGATAGGGAAGATCCCGTGGAAGGAATCGGTCGGTTTCCAGAGACGTTACCCTTGTCCCTTGTAACGCACACGACGCTCCTTTCCTGGACTGGAAGACCTGTCTCGCGGACACTGGTCTCTCCTTAACGGTCTTAACGAATGTGGGAGCAAGATTCTGCTGGCTCCCTCGACTCTTTGTCCTTAACTTTACCGAGAATCCGACGATCATCTTGACTTTTTGTTCGGCACAGGTTACGAAGGAACGCCGCACCATGTTCTCCAGCAGGAACATCGCAGGAACGTCAACAGAGTTACCAGGGTACGAATCTATCGATATCTTTTTGCGTCCGTTCGAGAAGATCCATCGAAGATTTATTACGGTTTTTGGAACGCTAGTAGATCCGTTTTCGGTGGAAAACTTGGACGGACATTTGATATTCCTTTTGGTTTAGAGCGGCAATTGGAAAAGAGTTTTTCTTGCAGCACAAGAGAGCGACCGAAGTGATTCGAGGACCCTACAACGCGAATAGACATTCCCGATACGTGGAGCTGGTGATGGTGATCGATAAGAAGGAGTACATCGTCTCGAGAATTCAGGATAAGTCGTGGAAAATTCATTCTCGGATTTCGTCGGTAGGCGACAGGAATCGTTTTTAGTCATCGTTTATTACCCGCATCGTTAATATACATACGCGCATATATCGTTACGATGCAACAAGAACCGCGAATTTGTGCGGAGTTTATTTTTGAAACCGTAAAAAATAGTGCATCGAAATTTTTAGGAGCTCTGCCACTATCAAGGCAGCGTTCGAGACGTTCCTGGCTCTTGGGTAGCATTGTCCACTTGCAAAGGGCTGCGAGGCGTCGTTTTCGACGGAGAGAACCTTCACCACATTCATCCGGAGAAAGAATCCCTGGATTCGGACCATTACGTCTACAGGCACAAGGACCTGGTCGCCAATCACACTTGTGGTAACTATTCAAGTTGTAATCGCGATCATTTCGAATCTCTATAATTTCTGATTTACGAACTTACCAATTGCAAAGTAACTCCCAAATGGCTAACACGATCGAGAGGATTCTCGGAATTTACGATCCTCGTGTCATCGGAGTTTATCGATGAACTCCTGATTCATAGCCAATATCCATCCGCGAGCTTATCGCGCTTCCTAACGCGATAGGGAAGATCCCGTGGAAGGAATCGGTCGGTTTCCAGAGACGTTACCCTTGTCCCTTGTAACGCACACGACGCTCCTTTCCTGGACTGGAAGACCTGTCTCGCGGACACTGGTCTCTCCTTAACGGTCTTAACGAATGTGGGAGCAAGATTCTGCTGGCTCCCTCGACTCTTTGTCCTTAACTTTACCGAGAATCCGACGATCATCTTGACTTTTTGTTCGGCACAGGTTACGAAGGAACGCCGCACCATGTTCTCCAGCAGGAACATCGCAGGAACGTCAACAGAGTTACCAGGGTACGAATCTATCGATATCTTTTTGCGTCCGTTCGAGAAGATCCATCGAAGATTTATTACGGTTTTTGGAACGCTAGTAGATCCGTTTTCGGTGGAAAACTTGGACGGACATTTGATATTCCTTTTGGTTTAGAGCGGCAATTGGAAAAGAGTTTTTCTTGCAGCACAAGAGAGCGACCGAAGTGATTCGAGGACCCTACAACGCGAATAGACATTCCCGATACGTGGAGCTGGTGATGGTGATCGATAAGAAGGAGTACATCGCTCTCGAAGAGAACTTGGACAAGGTGTATCAACATTGCAAGGACATTGCAAACATCATCAATGCCGTTAGTATATCCTCTTTAATGCTCGGGCCAATCGTGACTCAACTTTGTAAAACGGTGCATTCGGAGTACGAGGATGTTCGAATTTTTCAGCGATAAACGGACATGCACCGAAAATATGTATAATATTTAAAGAGGTAGTTTAAATGCATCCAAATGTAGCGTAACTAAAGAAGCGTGGTTCACCGAGAAGCGCAGTTCGACGATGCTTGGACAATGACGCGCTCAGACTTTTGAACAAAAAACGTTCGTATATCAAAAGATAGCATGAAAGGATTCTATTTAAACGAGAAATTATTAAGGATCCGCGGGTTAACGCGTCGAACATCGTAAAATTTGATCGAGAATCTGATCGCGTTCGACGCGTTAACGAATCCTTGGAAAAAGCTCGAACACGAATATGCAAGGGAAATGTATCGCGTTGCAGTTGTACATGCCGCTGAACATATTCGTCGCTCTGGTCGGCGTACAAGTTTGGACGGACACGGACGAAATTACTCTGTCTCCGAACGGGGACACCACCCTCTCGAATTTCCTTCGTTACAGAAGAGAGAAGTTAGTCCAAGACATGCCTAACGACAACGCTCAACTGTTAACGTAAGTAGAAAAGCGATGGAAATGTCGTGTCGTCGCGAACTACCGCGCCACGGCTGCACTTTACTTTTGGCGATCGTTCAGCGAGAATGTTTGAAACTCGTAGGAGAATCACTTTCGAGGGAGGCGTGGTAGGTAAAGCGCTTAAGGGACCAATATGTACATACGAATTCTCCGGTGGCGTCTCAATGGATCACTCGAACGTCGTTGGATTAGTAGCGGCTACCGTGGCTCACGAAATGGGTCACAATTTCGGCATGGAACACGATTCAGCCGATTGCGAATGCCCCGAAGAGAAGTAAGTTTTCCGCGTACATTTTTAAATTTCTACGTATAACGTTGACACAGTGTATCGATTTACCTCTGATTTTTCACTCCGTGAAATAAAAATCGAAAGAAAAGAGATTAGACGAACGCCCAAGAACGCGTAGGTAAGTTACCGGCGATAACTTCCGTTCGAAACGATGCACCTATTTATGAAGCATCAGAGTACCGTAACTGAACTTGGAACGAAACGATCTGATCCCACGGTCCTCTGCGAAACGGATTGATCAATCTGTGCACGGAGAGCGTGATTGCGATTACCGTCGTTTCGTCGGCGCAACGGCTATCGTCCTCTAAACACGCTCGATTGCATCCGATTACAGATGCATCATGGCATCGTCGAGCGGCTCGTCAGGACCGACGCACTGGTCGACGTGTTCCCTGGAACATCTAGCGTTCGCGTTCGAACACGGCATGGATTACTGCCTGAGGAACAAACCGCAAAAGCTTTTCGACAGTCCGATTTGCGGCAACGGATTCGTCGAGCCCGGGGAGCAGTGCGACTGCGGATTGAAAGAGAACTGCGACAATCCTTGTTGCAACGTGACCACTTGCATGTTGCATGGTAACGCCAGCTGCGCCACCGGAGAATGTTGCGATTTGAAAACGTGTCGACCGAAGACCGCCGGCACAGAATGCAGAAGCGCGGAACACGAGTGCGACTTGCCGGAATATTGCACCGGACAGAGCGAATACTGTCCGGTGGACGTGTTCAAGATGGACGGGGAGTCGTGCAGTATGGGCAAAGCGTTTTGCTACCAAGGCTCTTGCAGGACGCACAACGATCAATGCAAGCTACTGTGGGGTCCCACAGGTTCCTCGTCCGACGACCAGTGCTACGACATGAACAACAGGGGCACGAAACACGGAAACTGCGGCTACAATCGCGTTGAATCCAGCTACGTGAAATGCACCGACGAGTAAGAACCGATCTTCCTTCGCGTCTGAACTTTCGATGATCGAGAGTAAGAATTTTTTATTGGACCGTAGAAATCTTCTCTGCGGAATGCTGCACTGCAAACATCTGAACGAGAGGCTGGAATTTGGTATGGAGTCCGTCGCGATATTGAGTCATTCGTTCATCAACAACGGGGGAAAGATAATACCGTGTCGGTCGGCTATCGTGGATCTGGGATTGAACCAGGTGGATCCTGGTCTTGCTCCGGACGGCGCAAAGTGTGCACCTGGAAAGGTAACGATTCGCCAACGATCGTACACTTTATACGTAAAAGTTGTACTCTAGAAACTTTCACGCTAATCCGCAATGCTTCGTTCGTGACATTAACAAAGAACCAGGAACAAGAATCGCACTTTCCGTAACCGTATAAATTTCTCCGATTTAGATGTGCGTGAATCAGAAGTGCATGACGGTCGCCGATCTGCGCGCATCCGTGTCCGGAGGGAAAGCGTGTCCCAATGATTGCGGGGGCAACGGCGTGTGCAACAGTCTCGGCCACTGTCACTGCAATCGTGGCTTCCGGCCACCCGATTGCACTCAACCTGGCGTTGGTGGTTCCGAGGACAGCGGTCCCGCCGAGGATCCAAACGGTGAATTGATTTCGCTCCGATGCGTTTTAACGCGAATAATTCTCGACGATTGTCGAAGCAATTTCTTAATCGTATCGACCTGTGTTACAGCGAGAAACGATGTCATAATGGCTCTGTACATTATCTTCTTGGGCATCGTTCCGATGATCGCCCTGTCCTCTTTCGGCGTTTGGTACGTGAAGAACCCTGGCCAGCACTGGAAGAAAGGCATGATGTCAACGTACGTATCTAGTCTCGATCGCGTAAAAGACATACGCAAACCGCATGCTTTTGCGTCGCGCGGTGCTCGCGGAGTAAACTCGGGTCACGCGATCGGTAAGAACTTTTACGAGAGAGTGGTGATCTTCTTCTTGCCTCGGCAACACAGCTCTCCTAACACGAACCGAATATTCACGATCAGCGAGAATCTGCCGGCGAAAGAGAAGCTTCAGATAACTAAAACAAATCTGATATCGACCACTAACCCAGACGCTATTAACTGCAGCAACAGCATCGAGTACAGAAAATCGATGTTGCTTGCCAATATGGATCAGAGGATTAACGATACAGATTCTCCGGAGAGCTCTGATTGCGTACGGTTAGCCATCCCGTCGTCCGTCGAGTGTCAAACGAGGAAAAATTCGGTTAGGTCGGAATTAGGCTCGAAAATAGCCGAGCGTATTCAACAGATGCAGAAAAAGCCCTCGAAAAATATCAAGGGGCTGACGCTCAAAATGGCGCTAAAGTTTGAACAATTGAACGAAAGTCCGAGCAGCAGTTCAGGCATTACGCCAAAATCGAGTGAACCGTTGACTCAGGAAAAGCCGTTCGTCAAGGCAACCGCTCCTTTTTACAATAAAAAACCACCGCCTCCGCCTGCTCCAGCTCAAAGCTTGAAGCCAAAGATATAATCCGATATCTTTTTCCTGTTTTTTATTCCCCGATCTTTTCCCGTTTACACGATTTCTTCTTATTATTCCAATGTATTATTTTTAATCTAGTGCGAAGGTCGTAGCGGAGCTTCGTTCGGTAGTGGCTACGATCTTTGCATTACGACGAACAGGGTTGACGATAATGGTGGTGGTTAACCCAGTCGAATCCTTATAATTGCCAAAACGAACTCGAATAGCGTACGCTGTGATTTTTATCATCAATAAGTCTAATTAACGAATACTCGAATGCAGGGCTTTTTCTCCTAAAGAATACACCAACCAATGTACTTAAGATTAAGCGTTTCGAAGTAATAGCTCCGGGCACCGCGCTATTCGGAGGACAGCGGTCCCGCCGAGGATCCAAACGGTGAATTGATTTCGCTCCGATGCGTTTTAACGCGAATAATTCTCGACGATTGTCGAAGCAATTTCTTAATCGTATCGACCTGTGTTACAGCGAGAAACGATGTCATAATGGCTCTGTACATTATCTTCTTGGGCATCGTTCCGATGATCGCCCTGTCCTCTTTCGGCGTTTGGTACGTGAAGAACCCTGGCCAGCACTGGAAGAAAGGCATGATGTCAACGTACGTATCTAGTCTCGATCGCGTAAAAGACATACGCAAACCGCATGCTTTTGCGTCGCGCGGTGCTCGCGGAGTAAACTCGGGTCACGCGATCGGTAAGAACTTTTACGAGAGAGTGGTGATCTTCTTCTTGCCTCGGCAACACAGCTCTCCTAACACGAACCGAATATTCACGATCAGCGAGAATCTGCCGGCGAAAGAGAAGCTTCAGATAACTAAAACAAATCTGATATCGACCACTAACCCAGACGCTATTAACTGCAGCAACAGCATCGAGTACAGAAAATCGATGTTGCTTGCCAATATGGATCAGAGGATTAACGATACAGATTCTCCGGAGAGCTCTGATTGCGTACGGTTAGCCATCCCGTCGTCCGTCGAGTGTCAAACGAGGAAAAATTCGGTTAGGTCGGAATTAGGCTCGAAAATAGCCGAGCGTATTCAACAGATGCAGAAAAAGCCCTCGAAAAATATCAAGGGGCTGACGCTCAAAATGGCGCTAAAGTTTGAACAATTGAACGAAAGTCCGAGCAGCAGTTCAGGCATTACGCCAAAATCGAGTGAACCGTTGACTCAGGAAAAGCCGTTCGTCAAGGCAACCGCTCCTTTTTACAATAAAAAACCACCGCCTCCGCCTGCTCCAGCTCAAAGCTTGAAGCCAAAGATATAATCCGATATCTTTTTCCTGTTTTTTATTCCCCGATCTTTTCCCGTTTACACGATTTCTTCTTATTATTCCAATGTATTATTTTTAATCTAGTGCGAAGGTCGTAGCGGAGCTTCGTTCGGTAGTGGCTACGATCTTTGCATTACGACGAACAGGGTTGACGATAATGGTGGTGGTTAACCCAGTCGAATCCTTATAATTGCCAAAACGAACTCGAATAGCGTACGCTGTGATTTTTATCATCAATAAGTCTAATTAACGAATACTCGAATGCAGGGCTTTTTCTCCTAAAGAATACACCAACCAATGTACTTAAGATTAAGCGTTTCGAAGTAATAGCTCCGGGCACCGCGCTATTCGTAAAGAGAACACTCGAGTCCTGCCAACGTGTACGTTCCAAGCGATATTTTTAACTGCATATATTTTTACGAATAATCGAACAAAGAGTATATATATATATATTAGTTTGTACGTATGACACGAACGTCGATCTCGCGTCTGGCCGATTTATTTATTCATGTATTATTATACCGTTAGTATCGTTTCATGCTCAATTTACGATAGACGCGTGTACGACACGATATTATTAGATTATCATAAACACTTTGATGTGACAGTACCAAAAAAAATGGGTGATAACGAAAGTTAAAAAGAGTTTGTTCGCCGGCTCGAGGAACGCGAATGAAAATTGACGAAAACGCGTTGCGACAGTCGACGGAGAACGTAGAGCATGCATAGAACTTGATGTGACACGAGCATGAGCATGCGTGAGTTAAGTTTCTTTTTGATGGCTTTTGCATTTTTTAAAATCACTGAAATCTCTCGCTTAACGATTAAGTCGATGACTTAATATTAACGATCACTCGATGCTAAGAATAAACGAGAGAGTCAACGTTTTCATTATTTTTCTTAGCGTTCGGAATTATTTGAAAGATCTTTGTCGTTCGAACAACTCATACTTGAACGGATAATTTGTAACAGTTTATTCAATAAAAGTAGACTTTTATACAAAGTGTATACGAATTTCTTATGCGATCAAGAACTTCCTTCTTCCAAAAACGCTTGCTATTAACACTTTAATCTTTGACTAACGTTCCCCTGCAGATTTATCGCGCGTGTTTGCATGCGTTTTGGTGGCACGTTCGAATCAGCACGCGTTTATTTCTTTGCAACTGCATGTCACGGTGGTGTTTCGACGAAACGAGTGCCGTTAGTTCGAGAATGAAACAAAAGATTGTTACGACACGTAGCCTGCTTGCGACACCTCGATTCCCTGGCTTACACTTGTGCTTAAAATTTCAGGACCGATCGTGGCCACAACGGATTGTCCATCAAAACGATCGATCGTTCCAGTCCTTTGCCTCGTAGCATCGAAACGATCGATTCTAGTCTGAGTCAAGATCCAGCGTGCGCGAGTTTGTTGCCGAAAGCCGAACCAGACAAGACTTACAACAATAATCTGTTCGGTCAATTCAAAGGTTTCACGATCACTCCGATCAAGAGTCAGCCAAAAAGTCCCGAACCGATTAAACCGGCACCACCTCCGCCTACGATCCCGACCGTAGCCATCAAGACCAACATCAAGGCTCTCCCGAAAAATAATCCCTCGAGAAACTCTTTGTTAAACGCGACGTCCAGCTTCAACGAGGCATCCGTCGCACCGACTTTGCCACCGTTGAATCCAGGCTGTACAGCACGACCTCTGATCAGTAGTCCGGTGTTGGCAGCGACTACGTGTACCTCCGTGGAGCTGGTAACTCCCAAAAGCTCCAACAGATCGATGGTGGATGGACCCACCAGGCCAGCACCGGCTCCGCCTGTTCCCAGCGAAATCCAGAAATCTCCAAGACCCAACAGCACGCCCTTGGCGAACGTGCTGGTGCCTGAACATCTCGAAAAGAAACCCGACAAAAGTGGCACCCTCAACAGGTTAGCCTCGATACTTCGACCAAACTCCGGCATCATAAAGATGGGACTGCAAGCGTCGCAAAGGGACGAGAAGAACACGAATTCTTTGCCCAGAACGCAACACCTTAAAGCGAACAAGGTGATCGACAAGGAAATCCTGAGAAATTTGGAGATCTCTAATCCCATTCCTCAGAAGGAGATCGAGATACCCACCCCAGCCATATCGGTGATCCCTGCCGCTGACTCGGACAAGAAGAACGTGGTGCTGCGAGCGCAGTCCATGAGAGACAGCAAAGTTACACCCAGACCTACGATTCAAACTTTTGGCTCCATGCGACAGACAACACCCGTGAAGAGACCTACCAGCATTCCTGCGAGCACCAGGCCCACTGCTCCTCCTCCAGGACCTCCTACCTCGACGATCGTCTCGGACAAGATCAACGAGACTGGAAAGATCCCTGGACTGCCTGGCTACCAAACTCCGCAGGTGAAGAACGCGCAGAAGATGGTGGACAACGCTTACGACGACTGCATGAATCTGGTCTCCGATTCCTCTTTGTCGAAGATTACCGAAGAATCGCCGACGAACGATAACATTTACGCCATTATAGAGGAGGCTGTGCCCGAAAAGAGCCGGAAAAATCCGGAATTGGAGAAACTAATCGACAACGAGTACAAGCAACCGAAACGAGTGGAAACAACGGCCAACTCTGCAGGCTTAGAGTCTATGGGTCTGTTGTCGGAGATCGTCTCGGAGATATCGAATCGTAACTTCGATTCCATATACTCGAGCGCCACCTTGAGGAAGGGGCAAGAGAACGGTGATAACTCGAAAAACTCGGAAGATTTAGGTTCCAACAGTTCCTTGGGCGCCTACGTGAACTCGAATCACTACAAATCACCGGGTAGCATTTATTCGAATTCCGCGTCCGGCAAATTCAATTCTTCCAGTTCGACGACGAGTTCGGGTTACCTGAATCCTTCGGCGTTGAACGTGCCGCAACAGCAGTCCAACAAGGCCGCGACGGCAACGAAACCGCCGAATAAAATTCAGAAACCGACGTCTCTCGGTTCGACGAATCCGAACTTGAACGACGAGATATCTAAAGAGCTAGGTATGAAGCCAGCGGAGGAGACCGTGCCTCGTAAACCGCTGGCACCGTTGAAAATTCGAAGCGTTCAGCGAACTACGTCGAACTCGAAGTCCGAGGAGGACACGGTAGACGGTAAGGAACCGTTGAAACTACCTCTTGGAAGAACGAAAACGCCGCCGCATATCGCGAAAAACTCGAAAGAGACTAGGCAAAGCGTGGACGCTGCGTCAAGATCTAAGCAATATTCTGAAAGCGGATCCAAGGGGTCTAAGCTGAGCTCGAATTCGGATACGATAGGTCAGGATTCTGAGGCGAGAAGAAAAAGCAACGGTAACTTGGACAGACAGGATTCCCACAATAAATTATCCACGAAAACTGTGCCTTGTAGTCCTAAGGATAACGGGGGAAGATTGAACAGTCCCGACTTAGTGTCCAGCTGTTCGAATTCCAATCAAATCAGTACAAAATCACCGGATGTTCTTGGAAACAATCCGAAGCTGAGCTTTCAGCCGAAAAACGTTCAGAAAACGCCGACGCTTCCCCGGGGAAACGCCAACAAGACAGCGTCCACGCCGACGAAGCCATCGAGCGTTGGATCTAAAGGAACTAGTCTCCCTTTGGAGAAGAAGAAGTCTCCTTCGGCCAGCAATAACGTTAACGTTACTAAATCCATATCCACGAAGGAGCCAATCACGAAAAGCTCGTTGTCGAAAACGAATCAGAAAACAGAGACGAAGACTGGGGACGTGGGAACGAAGACGAACCCCGTGCAAAGGGCAGCTAGTAGCAAATCGAACGTGGCATCTTTGCAGCAAAAGTTTGAAGCCAACAAAAACGTGAACGCGTCGAGGACGATACCGAGTGTGCACAAAAAGACAGTCGGGAAAACAGCGGAAACTGTTGGTGTCAAAAAGTGACTGTAGAACAACTAGACGAAAGGAGGATATCTACTTGCAATATTCTAGTCTATCGGTTCGATGAATTTTATTGTATTAGACCCGGTGCGAGCGAGTTTTTTAATCATGGATTTCGAGAGCTGTAAACCGTCTTTATAGAGGTATTTGACACGTTGATTGCCACGATTGGTTATTATCGGATTTGCGTCAAGAGAGTCTAATTTTAAACACGGCGATCAACTTCCGAACTCTTTTCATTATCGAAATAAATATTGCTTGCGAAACTTTCGAGAAATCAATTAGCGATTATCGCGCGACGTAGAGAAGGGTTAAAGACTGTACGAAAAAAGAAGGCAGTTATAATAGTACAATGATCGATCCGACGAGAAGAGCGAATGGATCGATTGATCGAAGGATATGCGAACGTAACCCGTATTCACTGTCAGAACACTAAAGCTAGGTTGTATTACGGTCATATATTACTGGCCGTGTGTAAATAGTAGTTACTTAAAAATATATATACGAATATTTTTTGTAGAGATCATTCATTATCACGTAACGTACGCGAGATGTTCGCAATCGTCAGACTATTTCTCTTATGAGGATTTTTTTGTAAAATGAGACGAGGTAACGAGCAGCAATTATTTTCAAAGATTTCGCTCGAAATTTCTTAAACTCTGTGATATAACGTGTAACGAAAGGTGTGTGACACAGGCACGTCGTACGTTATTGTAAGTAGCCGAGAATAGACGCGACCAAATCTATCATTTTATATCATATCTCGTGAAAGAAATCAAGAGGAAAAGATGCTAAACGAAGTCTAAAAAATAACAATTTCCAAAGACTAAGCGTGTTACGGTTCACAGTATGTTATGTTCGATGAGTGCGATCGTATGAGTACCATTGTGATTTAAACGCGAATCAAAATTCTGAAAACGCGATTAAGTTTAAGGGAGCTTAAGCGTATCGTAGTGTTGGGTAGAATCGAAAAAAGAAAAAAAAACAAATGCGTTCCATTCGAAGTGATAAACTTCTTCTGTAACAGAACACGCTAGAAGTACAACGTTAGAGATATTTTTGCTTAAATCACGCGACTTTTCAATTTTTCGCACGACAAACACGAATCTTTGGCGTCGTTGAACACGTGCAAAGACTAACAGGAAGGAAAAGAAATCGAAAAACAAGAAAAGAAAGATATTTATTTGACTGACCGATGTAAATATGTTTATAACGTGAATAGTTGTAAGTAACATTTTTGTACAATGTACCTCTTCGTGCTCGCTAAGTGGTCGTTCGCGAAACGACGTTGTTTAGCTTATTAAAGAACGATATCTCGTTCGATCTGTCGTTACACGTGTAAGATTCGCCTGTACCAAAACGAAAGAAAAAAGAAAAAAAAAGAGAAAACGAAAAGGTTTTATTGAACGGTACAGTTGTAAGGTAATATTTGATGCATTTATTATTTTAGCAAAGTGATCTTTCGCGTTGTGCATTTCTCGTATACGCTTGTTCGCGATCATATTTTTTCATTTATATTATAGTTCCTATATTGTATATACGTGCACAGATGTTTCGATCCGTTGAGACTTTTTCAGAGGCAGCAACGTTAAGTTCAATAAAGCTTTTCGAGCAATTTATCCCTGTTAATCGCGTATCGTTTTGTAGTGATCGTAGCTTCTCGCTTCCATTTTCTTTCCACGCGACGACGACGTTGTACGTGTCGTCCTCGGTGTAAAGACAATCAGACATTTTTGAAAATAAGATGCGCTTCGAAGGAAACCTTGGCAATAACAGATCGATCAAAATCGCAAATCCTTCATTTCTCTGTTAACACGATTCAGTTGTGTTACGTCACGAAGCGTGGCTACCAATTAACTGTAATTAACATGTACGGACTCAGGAAAGTAATCGAACATCGTTAGGCTTGAAGTTCAAATGCAGTGCAGAATAATTTCTATGAAAAACTTCGAACATAATAGCGTTTGAATATTTTCGTGAGCCTGTGTACGTACACGATTGCATTATACGTTCGATACCAAAGATAAATTATATTTTTAAATTAACCCTTTCATAACTAAAAACCCCAGAGACGGAACGAAATGGCAATCGTGGAACAGATCACCCATACGCTCATCTGGGTGAAATATGTATACGCGTAGTAATATGCAAGTTAATTGGTTGTTTGTAACGATAATGTTTAAAAAAATATTTCCTCCACGGCCTCTACACACCACCACGAATGTATTTAGGGCTGAAAGGGTTAAAGGGTCAAGATGTACGCCACCGTTAACTTAACACTTAAACATTGCCCCGTAACTTGTACATTTCTCGATGCATTAGTAACGTAACAATAAATTCTTTATTCCATGCAGGCTTTTTTTTTATGAATCATTGTCACAGTGGTCAAAAGGAAAGGTAGGTGGATAAATTACAATTTTTAGTTAACTATTTATTTAACTTCTCAAATATATAGTATATAGATGTATATAAAAATTCCGTAGTTAGAATAAAAGTAAATATAATGAAGGATTGCCATCATAATTTTTTTTTGGAAATCGGAGACTATGCATGGAGCAGGGCATATAAATTTACATAAACATTGAATGAAATTTATTTTCCAAGTCTGGGATTATAGTCCTCCCCCTTCGACATCCGCACTTGGCAATCAAATGAATAATACATCGTCGAAATTTAATTGTTTAAAAAATAAATATTTTCAGTTTCTTATGAGCGCAAAAAAATATTGCATTGTTAGAGAAAATATGAATAGTTAAATTAAGAAATAAATCGATGATTTGAACTATATGAAGATTGTAATACGCGTTAAAGGATGTAGGTGTCAAGAACTTAATCAAAAAGTATGCTTCGAGTGGGAGAAGTCTTCCCCTTGTGCCATTCTCCTCCAATAGAATTCGTTTAAGCGAATCATACTCTGCGAACAATAAATTTACCGATACGTTTCGCGTTATAGTATTGTAAACATCATTGACCTGTACTTTATTCTTTTCTGGTATACTCCCCTCGTACATAATAATTTTTCACATGAAAAAAAAGAGTAACATTCTTTCAAAAGAAATATTAATTTTGTGTACTACATCGGAACGATGCATTTGATCTAACATGATTATTAGTCGCGCGAGTACTCGTTAAATTATACGTTTATTGATCCCTGTTGGCGATAATAATACGAGAACGTGTGACCGTTTCATTGCCAAATGTTGCTAAACCACCCTAAACACTGTGTACCCACCAATGTGAGGAAATGCTATTGTGATTTGTCAAAGAACCGATAACCTAATAGTTATATGAATTATTAGGAAAAGTTTCGTATAACGTTTCGTAAATGAAATCGTAAGAGATGTTAACGTTAAGTTATATTTTTTAATGATACTGCTATTACAAAGAATTAGTGCACGCATTGTAGTTTAACATCATGATTCAAAATTTTGACGCATCGTTCTATGATAAAAAAAATTTCACTGTAACTTACAGGATATTTCAAGTTTATATTTTTATATGGTGAAAATGGCCCATGCTCCGTTACCAAAGCTTATCTGTGAACAAATAAATACATTTAAGATGTGTCCCACAGACTTCACTACATCTACTGCCTTATCCGATGTGAGTTTGACATTTACGATCGATTTCTTTATTTTATTATGTTATATTTTATTTTATTTTTAGGTGTTAAAATCGGACCCAGTGAAACGGCTGTTTAATCAACCAAATATTGTTATTAAGACAATTCCTTTACAAATAAATGCACCTTTTACCTCGGATGATAATGTTATTGCAAACAAACAGAATAATTTAGATTCAAATTTGAGCGAATCAAAACAAGCAGAATTATCGGTAATTCCTTTACAGATGGATCAAGAAGATAATAAAGAAGATGAAAATCTTTTACCTTCTAAAAGACAAGGTAAATCAGAAATTACGTTAGTGCCTATTAAAAGGGAGAAGAAATCTTGTGGTCATTATGAACCCTGTGAGAGCATTGTTTGCGATGTGGCAGTACAACAATACGTGGATCTTGAAGGAGCATCGCCTATGTTAGCTATTAACATAGAGGACGACGAAATAAATGCACCTGTCTCTAAACATTGCACAAATGACAGATGCGATGCTTTGAGTATAGATCATGATCGATGTCGCAGAGCTATTGTAAGGCTAAATAGGTGTAATGAATCTACAGTATGTGACATTTGTGGTATCGTGTTAAAAACAAGAAGATCTCGTATATCCCATAAAAGTTGTAAAAGAAGAAACGAATATAGACATAATGAAACAAATGGTGCTCAGGTATTAAAAGAAAAGATGCGCGAAAGAGAAATTCAGATGTTAGAAGCTTCTAAAGGAAAAAAAAGTGATCATAAGGATCCTGTTGCAGAGTATAATCTTGCAATGGAAACATTAAAAAATAACAAGGAATTAATTGTGATTCCAAAGTCAGTTCCTTCGCAGCAACCAGATATTTCTATAAATCTTATGTCTACGAATCAATCTACTTCAGAAACTGACTATGTAAATACTGTACTGGGAAAATGTTTACCCAATATACCAATTGTATTACCGCAACAAAGTATATTCTTTGGTAAAACTCCAAGTTCCAATGGAAATAGCACAACTCCTCCGATACAAATAACTTTACCTAATACTTTGAATATACCGCTTGTATCGACAAGTGGTACAGGACCTTTACCCCAAAATCAGTATATTACAATTTCGACACAAAATAATGCACAGCCAATAACGATAAATGATTTGCTGTTGTCACAGTCACAATTTGTGACAACACCGATTCAACCCAAACCACTGTTAACTCCTATACGTGTTGTGCCTATAACTAATTTACTAACACAACCATCGTTGTTACATCAAACTCAAGGTATACCAAAGTTTTGTATCATGGCAGACAATACAGTACCACCGCCATTAGCTGTACCGAATCCGCAGCCTATTCAACCTGCAGTATCTGTGCCAAAGGTTGAAAATTCAGATAATGATAAAGCAAAATTACAGACAAGGAAGAAAATAATAAGAAAAAAACGTCAACATAAACATAAAAGTTTCAAGTGTACCTATTGCTTTAAAAGTTTTAGCACAGATTGGTATTTTAAAGTACATGTTGCTAAGCATACAGGCGAGATGCAACATCCTTGTAAAATATGTACAATGTGTTTCAACACTCGTTCTGATATGAAAAAGCATATGTCAGATGAACATAAAGCTGGGAATACTTCTCCTGATCTGGATAATCAGCAAACTATCGAAGGCTCCTATAAATGTTTAGACTGTAATATCGTGTATACAGACATTGATCATTTAAAACATCATAAACAGAAATGTCATAATAAAGTAGAATGCGCATTTTGCCACGACGAAGTTTTAGCAGAGGACTTAGATAGGCATATTGACTTAATGCACAAACATATAAAGGACGAAAACGCGATGGAAGAAACTGATAATGACGAGAGTAGTTCTGATAAAAGAGATAAACTAAAAGTTCCTTTGAATACTACGGAAGATGACAACAAATCAAATGGATACGTTTGTACTACAGATTAAAACATTATTAGGAACATTAAAATAATATACTGTGAAACATTCCAATTTAGCCACTCATTACAGTTGAAACAAAAAAGGAGAAAGATAATAGTTTACGTACATTGAAAGTATGTTTGTTAAAAATTTTGAATAAATTAATTATATTTATAAAACATGCTTAAACTTTTATGTTAAATTGTTAACACAGGCATAGTGTATATGCCAGTATTTGTTTGATAGAATATCTTCCTATTTTCAATCTTAATTATGGGGAAATTATTATGTCATACCTTGAACTTGCTTACAATTGCAATGTAAATATTTTAGTAATTTTTACAAAGATATGTTTCACAAAGTTAAGAAAAAGATCAATATTTTTGAGCTGAGTAACACAATACAAGATATTGTAGACAAAACAAGTTAAACTTAGGAAAAGTTATGCGATGTAAAAATTTCAAACTGTGATATGTGGCCATCTTTCCACTACAACAATTTTTATGTTATGTAAAAATTCACACTCTTAATTACATAATTAACGTAATTTTGAGCACACTTATTATATATGTATTTATGTATACAAGTAACTAATTATACATATCTCAAAATGCACAGAACAAAATGTTAGGACCAGCAAATTTGTTATTGATATTAAGAGAGAAAGTTCAATGCCATTCTTAGGACATGTTAACATACTTCACTAATATTGTGTTCCTTTCTTTCCCCGGTCGAGTAATCATTTACATTGTATGGTCATGTAAAAATGTTAATATCGGTAAACTGTTCGTTATAGCTGCATTTAATAATATTATACCATAGAGGTATTTATAAAATACTGAAAATTCAGTCAATCTATAGACCATACTTGTGTTTCCTGCTAAATAGTTTCTTTGCAGTATTTTAATAATTGTGTTATATTCCTAGATTAAACATTTCATTAGATGTAGAATATCATTATGTGGTAGAACAATGCCTATTCTTTATAAACACTTGACTGTTCAAAATAATGATAAACCTGTAAATACTTTTATATTATAATTATTATTGGGTAAATCGAGTACTTAGAGTATTAGAACTGTACTAAATAGTATAAAAAAAAGTTTGTAACTGTATCCGAGTTAAATACAGCTAACACTAAAATATTACCGAATGTTGGCAAAAGAATAGAAATAGTACTTTTTGAAAATACAGTTCCTTGGTGAGGAAGCTAAGTGAAATATTGTGTGCCTTCTAAATTTTAATGTTCCTTATATAAATGCATTTTTCACCATTTCATACAAAAAATAAATATTAATTACAAAATAAAATCGATTCCATTAATTCGTTTTACCATTTTTACTTGACAATAAAAATGCAATTTTAATGCAATTATATGTATAAGCAGAATACTATTAAAGGACTACTACTTGATCAATAGATTATTCTGTTTAAATATCTATAAATGAGGTATTAACAAAGATTATGTATATATGTATTTAATATTCATAATATTAAATATCACAATGTAATTAGGATTTAAATATTTTTTATGATGATAAAAATCGATGTTTCGGTAATTGCAGTATAAAAACTTTAATCATTCATTTATGTGAAAAACATACTGAAGATATTTTTTAAATGATTGATGTTACAAAAATATTAACTTAAATATATTCTGGAAAAGTTGTTTGGAAATGATTACTTATTAATATATTTATATGGAGTATTGTCAAAATAAATTACTATTTAGTATCAAAATCATTTCTGTATTTAAAATAGTTTCTTTTTTAAATTAGTAATGTTGCCCACCAATTACATTTAAAGGTCCAATAAGCTTAATTATTTATACCATTTGTAGTATGAAATTATTTACTTATTTTCTTAAAGATACAAATTACATTTATGTAATATTTTATTTCATATCCTATCTAAAGCTTCTAACATTATTACGCTGTTTCCACGAATTACCTGAAACAACATATGCATAAATAACAATTTATTTATTTCTAAATAAGAAAAATATTTAGTATTATAACTTACCACCATTCCAATATTATTTTTGGTACCATCTTTACACTCTTCGATGCTTTCATCTATTACCATGTTCATAAATGGATCAAAGCCACGTAAAATGCCAACAACGTGTCTTCCTCCATTCAATTTTACTACAAACATAATGTTATGTTTTTAATCTTGATAATCCATAACAATATTTAAGAATAACAAAGTCACGAATTTTAATGACATGAAGTATACTGTTCGAAAGTTTATATTGCATTAAATATTTATATATTATTATTGAAACGAAAACGATTATCAAAATGCTTGAATAACTTCAAATATTCTTTACTTACAGGATAATCTCTTGTCCATGTACCTAAAGTAAAAAAAAAGAACTTTTTAAGAATATACTTACAATACATTAATTTTAGATTAATTTATTTAAATTTATATCGTTTATATTACATTTATAGTTAGTAACTGTATAAATATACCACATTAATATAAGTAATAAATATAATATATTACAAGTAAATTTATTTATTATATCTTACTTTTTAAGTTCTGGAGGATGTGCTTTACTCATTTTTACAATATTTTGGTTAAAAACTTTGGTTTAACAACTATTCCCGGCTTAACAGTGTAATAATCACAGATCATGTACAGAATAGATTTACTATCTTATGAAACTTCGTGTCTAGTATACTGAAATACCGATCGTGCAAGAATTCAAAGGATTCGTTATGCCCCCTATGTTTTAGAACAGTGAATTTACGAATTACAACATATATAGAACATGATCTGTGGTTGTAATGTGAATAGTTGAGATGTCCATACGTACATACACTCTGGTTCGTTCTAGAAATCTTTGGACATAGCGACAAGTTTTGGGAAGCGATACCGTGTAAAGTTAAACATGTCAGAAACTTTGGATACTAATGCTGATATCGTAAGTAGCGTTCCTTCAAATAGCGGCGACGTACGCTTCGCTTCAACATTGTTATTCTATCAAAAATATATTTATATCGATATAAAAAGTTTGATCGTAACAGTATTAATAAATACTATATTTTACTTGCGGTAGCATATGAACGTTAGAAAAAATTTTGCTAGTTGAAATACTATACTGGTTTCTAATGTTTTCCAATGATTATTTTGATTTTAGGTCAAGTCCATGTCTTTAGCCATACCAGCTGATTCACCCAAGAAACCAGTTAAATCTACAGCGATCGTAAAATATTCGACCGTTCAGACGCCAGCAACTTATGCTCAATTACAATGCAACACAGACTTGAATTTACCACCAAGCAATTGGCTCAGCAGCTCTGCAGAAAGCTACGGATTACAAAGTGTTTGGTCTCAGACTTCTGGATTTTCCAGTTTTCGCATGGCGCATATGTTTCCTGATTGTGTCGGGGAAGTTGATGTTGTATCTGATGCAGAAAATATAAAGAAACTGCTTAAGTTACCTTACAATCATGGAATAATATCCATGGTAGTTCACAGAATTGAAAATACCCTGTTGTTGGATGATTTTGATATTCATAAATATCTACTCAGACAAGCAGAAAATGACTGGGAATGGTTGAAAAAGTTTTTTTATGAGCACATTTTCCAGAATCTGGGAGATAAGGACAAATGTCTATTTCACAAGACAAGTAGCAGAAATACTTTGCAACAAAAGAATTTGGTATCCAAATTTTTGTATCACTCTATAGTAGTGGCAGATGAAAAACAGCAGCATGTAAAACCACAACTACCCGTGAAAACATTAGAACCATGTCTACCAGAACCTTCGCAAGAAGAAAAAGTACCAGATCCAAATTATAATCATAATTTTGCAAGAAACATTGTGTGGACTTTTGAGAACATACAAATGCTTATTGGTACTGATATGCCAATATTTGGAGGGCTAACTCATCCTTGCATCAGTCTGAGATTAAGGGACATGACTAAACCCATTAATGTTCTGACTGGTATAGATTATTGGTTGGATAATTTGATGTGTAATGTTCCAGAAGTAGTGATGTGTTATCACTTGGATGGTATCGTGCAAAAATATGAATTGATAAAAACTGAAGATCTTCCTAATTTAGATCATTCTAAATTCAGTCCAAAAGTTATCAGAGATGTTGCACAGAATATTTTAAGTTTCTTAAAAAATAATGCAACAAAAGCTGGACATACTTATTGGCTGTTTAAAGGTAGGATAATGATCCATTAGAATGATCAAACTTAATATATCTTAATTGTTTTCTAATCTCACACTATATTTTTTAGGAAAGGATGATGACGTGGTGAAATTGTATGACTTAACATCTTTGTGTCACGATGTGTCAGATGAAAAGGGTCAAAATCCATTTACTGTACCTGTTGCTATGTTACTATATAGAGTAGCACGTAACATGAAATACTCCTCTGATTATCACAGACAGCAGGGCACCATCAGAATGCTACTAAAGAATTGCATACAGTTATTAGCTAAAGAAAAGTATCCTCAAATTGTAACATCCGCACATTTTATGTTATCCGATCTTTATATACCATCGGATACAGATCCAGTTAGCCCTGGATTATCCGATCAGAGTGACGAAGAAGATACTCAGAGCGAATCGAGCGTATATCATGAAAGCGAAAGAGACGAGGACGAAGAACACGAAGTAGATGCAATAAAATCTTTGGCCTTAGCAAATAGTAAGTTGTATATCTCTTTTTTTATTATTTTATATTTGTAAACAAAAATTCTTAACTCTCAGTAAAGGAACATGCGGAATGCGAAGAACCCAAGTATAAACCACCACCAATTTCGGGTACAATTAAGGAACGATGTTTAGCTGCTTTGGAACATGTTTGCGTCGGACTTGAATGTCTGCAATACTTTCCGACCAATGATAGCGTGGAAGAAGAACAAAAGAAAGCGGAAGCACAAGAGAAAGAGAAGAAACAATACGAAGAAACTCACTTGAATATGGCGAAACCTTTTGAGGCAATTCCAATGCCTTACTCGTCCTTGAAGGATAACAAGAAGGATGTAGAATTAGAAGAAAATTTAGTAACCACTAGTCCTGCCCATAAGAAGAAATTCAAGCAGAAGAAGATCAAAAAACCCGATAAAATCATCACGAAAGAAAATCCTATTGAAAATGAACCGAAAGCATTGTTGTGTAAACTTAAAGTTGGAACACTACCTACGTGGCAGGCACCTAAAAAGAGTGATAATATTAGTTGGAACGCTCACTTGAAAACGTTATTGTACGAGAAAGCTTCGTTGATTTTTGCTGTACTCGCGGAAAATGAATACGCCAATAGAAATTGTGGAGCGTCATTAAGATACATTTTAGCTCTATTGCGCTGTCAAAAAATATTAGAAATCTTTTGCGGTATACGGAACGATAAGTCGATTAGTTATTTATTAGGTCGCGCCGGAGACTGTCTCTTTATGGCTGTGCAAGATTGGTGCAACGTCGAAAAACACAGAAAAGACTATGAAATGAAGAATGCGATCGAAGAAAGAATCGTCGAAGAAATATGCACCATGGAAGATTTAGATATGAGTACGTTTGCCAAAAGCGAGTAGGAATGTCTTCTTTTTTTCGCGATAATTGAATTATTTCTTCGTTCCAGATGGCGCTGAATTACTGCCTCAACATTTAGAAAGTTTGGAATCTACCTTAGTAGCATCGTACAAATGCTACGAAAAAGCCTTATCGTTGGAACCGTTGGATATGGATAAGAAAAATCTTTTAATACGTTTAGGAAATATTAATAACGAATTAGGTGTACTTTACATGAATCAAGCTGAAGGTGGGTAGATACTTTACTGGATAAAAATATACATTTTAATAATTATATGTACATGTTATTATTTATTATAGCACGCTATCAGCAAGAAAGTTCAGAGGAAGAAACAGAATCGTCCGCTAATGTACAAGCGTTGCTTAATCGCTCTTTAACTCATTTAGAAGCGGGCGTAAAAGCTTTTGAAGCGATTCACGATGAAGCAAATTTAGCATTTCTACACTCGAATACTGGAAGACTTATGCGGCTTTGTGCACACGTGCACGTGAAACAAAACAGTCAAGAACGTCACTTTTATAACAAAGCACTTTCGAGTTATCAAAAAGCCTTACAAGTTTTAGGTTCCAGAAAGACAAATCCTATGATTTGGGACACGATCACGTGGGAGCTGTCCACTACCTTGTTTACTATGGCTACATTATTGCAGGACTATCCGACAAGTGGATACAAAGTATGTTTCTCGATTCTTTTTAGAGGAGTATTTTATTTAAATTAAGCTCGATGATTTATTCGCTTGTTCTTTTCAGTCGGAGGAAGAATTGGAACGAGAAGTTGTCGATATTTTGCAAAAAGCTCTGAAACATTGCGACACCGAAACACCTGGACCACGACAACCGGTTTATCAATTTCGTGCAGCGACCATCCAACATCGACTCGCGTCTTTATATCATAGCGTCTACAGAGAATGCGAACCAGACACGGATAACATTAAGAGGAAAACCAGTTTGCAGTTATGCAAATTGTATTACGATAAAGCTGCAAAATTATTGTTGTCTTTGGAGCAAACCACGGAATTTCTAACTGTACAAATGGAAAGGGTTGCTTTAGCGGAACATCAAGCACGTTGTGCCACGACGTTCAACGGCAAATTAAAAGCATATCAGAACGGACTGGAATTAATATTGCAGTGTAGACCTATTATGGATATATTACGCGATAAAAATAACTCTCAGAAACAGACGATAGGAACTACAAATGTTAATACTAATAACAAAGTATCGAAAGACAGTGTAGAAGGAGGAAAGGAAAACACAAACGACGAACAAAAGTTGATGGAAGACGAAGAAAGTTTAGTGATATTACTCGAACAGAGGTTGCAATTTATCCTGCGATCTCTAACGAAACTATTCGTTACCAAGAACAGCAGTAGCAATAAGAAAGAGTATGTATCCGTTTCTAAATTGTTAATATATTTTGATCGTAACAGTATATCAATACACGTATGCATTTCAGGTCTGAAACACAGGCCAACTTGTACAAACAGTGTTACAGTAAAACATTACGACTAGTCACGATGACCGGTTTGACGTTAATAGAACATATTGCACAACTTTTACGAGAATTGGAGAAAATGTTGTCGTCTACGGAATCTTGAACGTACATAAATGTGTATATAACATAGCTGTGAAAACAACGCGTAACGCGTCGATCGACAATTGCACTTTGATGGTGGACGGAGTTTACCGTTTTAAGGATTCTTTATGACTGGTCGTTAATGCTGGCCATTAACGCTGGTCAGTATATGGTGAGAAGCGAGAATGAGATGTCGAAGGAAACATTCTTTTAAGTCACTGTATCTAAAATCCTCGAGACTTTTTTTAATTCTAGGGTGTAAATAGTAAAATTGAAGCTCTTATTTATATATGATTTATAACTGGAAAATAAATAGCTTAAACCAACGATAATTCTTTTACTCCGTTTTTGTTTTCTATCATTTTTTGAGCTGTATTGCAAGCAAATTTCTCACACAAAATATTGACGCGCTCAGCGAGAAACGTAGGGATAAGAAGGGATTTAATAAACCGTAAGCGTACGAAGCGACGCAAAGCCAAAGAAGATTGACTGGAAGCAAAAAAAAGGAAAAGAGTTTGTTTCTTCTCTGGAGATTTAACTGCGACTATACGCAGCTCCTGCAAACTACGCAATAAACGAAATTGCGAAGTCGAGTAGCCGGTTTGAAAGGTGCGGAGGATGGGGTAAAGGGTGCTCGGTATTATTTTCTCTGGCTGTTGGGTTACCCAGCCACGCAAACCCAGTCTTCCCTTTCCGTCTCTTGCGCTAGTTTGAACCCTCGCCGTGAAGGACGCACGCACACACACTGGCAAAATTAAGGAACATAGAGAAAGAGGGAAAAGTATCCGGCCTGTTTCAGCAGCGTCGAGCCCGGAGTTTCCACGACTTTGAAACAATTGAATTCCAAGACATCTTAAGGGGGAGAGGGTCGGAGGGTCTGCCATTACGCGAATTACATAATGAATCCGTCAGACGTGAAAGAAAAGAGGAGGAAAAAAAGAAAATATGCCACGGTGGTTAACAGTCTAGGCTCGTTCGAGCGGCCGTCTTTTCTTTGCGGCAACCGATGGAATTTTCGGCTCGGACAAAGGGGGAATTCCGTGAGGATGCCACGTTCTCTCTTTCTTCGTTCCTCTCTTCCAGAGCTTCGAATTCAAACCGCGTTCCTATCTTTCCTCGAGCCTCGACCTCTTATCTGGTTATATCAATTAGAGTCGGTGCCTTTCTGTCTTCTCGCGTTTGCATTCTTTTCGTTCTTTTGCTTCGACATGTCGGAACGGGACGAGTAAATTCGAAAATTACTCGACTATCGATCCTCCTTCGCTCGATTCAATTGGAGTCCCGACACGCGACCTCGTCCTTTACCATTTTCGAAGCGAGCTTATTTGCACTTCACTGCAACTCGAAATTTTTCTAATTAGAAGTAAAAGGAGAAGTTATATTTTGCTTCTTCTTCAAGAAAATTTATGTACTAGGCTTCTCTCTTGGAGTATTATTAATTTGACAAGTTCAAATCGTACGCGACAATGGATCGCCTAAAGTTCCACAGAATGTTGACGATGAAACGCGTCGCTTCGGAAACAAGTTAAAGTGCACAGCACATGTTTTGGAAGGTGTCTTGAGTCTCGTAAATAATAATGTGCATATTCGCTGGCGAATGCTTGGCGTGTTCTAGTCGATAATAAATTACCGGTGACGCAAACTGGGCACGAATGTTATGGTCTACGTTCACCGAAATTTACATACATAGAGAAACTCGTGAAACAGGAGATTAAAGGAACGAAAATTAATTTATTTCGTTCTTTTATCTTCGTTCGGCGAATCTGTCAGTCCGTAAAAGTACGTGTGTTCAATAGAAAGTAAATACATCTTATCATGATCGAACGTGACCGGTAAGAGACGAGCAGGATCAAAAATCCAAGGAGGAAATAACGTGCCGATACTTCCTTGCATCGTGCCATACACCATAACGCGTAGTAATATTTTTCTTTATCAGAAACCTCATGACTAAAGACGGAACGATGTTGTCGATATCCCTCTTTTTTATCATAGCCTGCAGAGGGTAAATCTCGGGTTTCCGCTACGATAAAGTAACGTAAACGAAACGAAACGAAACTCCAAGGAATTAATTAATATAAATCGATTACCAATACGAGCTTGCTCGTCGATGAGAAACTACGAGGAAGTCTACATCCCCGTGGAGGTTCCCTCGATTTCAAAGCATTAGCGAACTCGGTTTGCCGCGTGTAACAAATTCTAATTTTCGGTCGAAACTACAGAAACTGAAATTAATTAATAATCCTGAAACGAGAGCACTGTGTCGTTGTTTTCTCGCTTTTGCAGCTGCTCATCCGTCTATTAACGAGGACATCTTTCCAGATTTAGTTTACCGTGAAAGACAAATGTATGTTTGTTCATTAATGTACAACGATATTAACAATATTGCGAAACACGTTTCCAAGTACATCTATTTTAATAAAAAATTGATGGGTCGATTTCTAACAACGGAATTAGTTTTCAATTACCTCGCGATACAATTAGTTTCGTTCTGCCGTAACAATTATACGCGCACGGAATTGAAGGGTTTCTTCGTTACGTATTTGCTAGTTAAACGCGGGTCAAGTTTGTATATTGAAATATTAAATCGATCGATGCAATCGCGTTCACCCAATTTTCAATCTTTCGGATGAAATGTTCGTTAGCGGGGTCGACTTGATTCGTTGAAAGTTACCAATTAATCGGGGAAAGGATTCGCGTCCGGAGTGTCGTCGAACTTTCTTCTTTCGAGCTTCGGGGCAGCTTCGTGCATCTCATTTCTTTTTATTACGGTTGCAAAACGGATGCAAACCGAGTGCAATTTATAATTCAATTTCCAGATCATCTCGAAAGCGATTTGCTCTCTTTCTCTCAACAGTGAAATTAAGTCGTTCGTTTCATCGGCGAAGAGACAAGGGAGAAACGAAGAGAGAAGAATGCAAGGAGGCAGAGAATCCTCTTAACGCGGAACAAACTCTCGTTCAGTTTAATTACATTAGAAATTCTTAATCTTCCTCTTATCCGTGTCCAGAGGAGCCGTTTTGCTTGTACCGAAAATCGATCGATACGAAGATGGTGCGAACGCGTGATTTCACGTGCGGTGATGCGACTATCTGCGAAGTTAATTTTAAAGATGAACCGATCATATTGTTAGCAACTCCAAGTACGGACGTGTCGCGGGCGGAGAACATCAGCAGGTAATTTTTTACCGTTGTCTAGCAATTATTTCTCGTTTAGCGCATTGCCGTATATCAGATCGACGAAAGCGAGCAACCGGATAGCAACGGTCACGTACGAGCGTGGCCCGGCAATATCGTCGACCCAGGATCTTTATTCTTTCTTATTACTTAATATCCCCGTAACGAGGACAAATGCGGTGGCCAGGGTCCTACTAATTGCCATGATATCGCGCACTCTCCTCCCATCAATCTATCGTTCCTACGTTCCAAATGCCACGTGGAATTCTCTTGCATCATTGACCGAGTATACTTTCTTGCGTGCTCCTAATTGTCTACCCTTATTTTTCTTTCGTGTCCGATTCTTTTTTATTCGCGCGCGAATATACCGTAATTTCAGAGTTCTCGACAGAAAACGTTGAAGAATTTCAGAAAGTTTCTTAGCCGTCTAATCTAGAGTCAAGATCACTGAACTCGAATCTTCATTTCTCGCGAACGTTGTCCAATTTCGAGTCAAGAACATATTTTACGAGGAAATTAACTGGGACTTTTCTATTTCGTTCAGCATCAAAGGACGATCAATTTTACAAATTTCTTTTTAATCGTCTAATCGAGAGTCAAGATAATGTCTCTACTTTCAATCTCGATCCAGCTTGTCAAGCTAACTCGTTTTCAGACCTAATCGAAACATTCGAAAACCGATTCTCCGTAACACGCTGTGCGACATTCGAGCGAGATGACGTTGATTGATCGATGGAATTCTACGAATTCGTGGCTTTCTGGAGGATTCGGGCGTTCGAGGTATCAGGGAGAAAAATTAGGTCGATCGAATTGAATAATTAATCCCCTCGGGAGTAAGACATTCTTCGTCGTGGCAGTTTTCGCGAACTAGTTCTCGATCGTAAAAGGGAAAACACCGTGTGGACCGTGGTTGGCTGCGGTTACCAGCCATTCGTACAATATATGCTTAACTACGTTACGAGAGAGAGAGAGGAGAGAGAGAGAGAAGCTATCTAACTAAATTATTCCGCGAGGCTGACGTTCAAACGCATTTACATTCGGTCGACCGTGAACAATGTCCCATCGCACCCCATGTTTCATAATTATTAAACTTATTGGCTGTTAAATAACACGAAATGTACGAAATTTCATCGCGTCGAAATAATCTGTCGCGTTTCTTATAATGCACGATTCGTCAGGTTTCATCGATGATTTTAACATGGCCGCAGTCGGCGACGGAGTACGCGTCGCATACTCAATCGTTTTGGTATTAATTTAAGCTTTGTCACGTCCTCCTGTCATTTCGTACAATAAACGCGAGAATAAATGGTTTCTGTATTTTCTTTTCTGTCCTCTACTCGGTAATAACGCGAATTCTCTTACAATGCGAGCTCTTTTCGGGTTCCTAAACTCTATTCTGCTCCTCGCTGCTCTTGCCCGCTTTCTATCATTCAGTAGTAAATATATGCGCGTGGTCAGCCACGAGAAGCCGCGTAATAAATTCAGCCCGCGGTGCTTCAGAATTCAACTGGCGGCCGTTGTTTCGTTTCCGATTCTGTTTCCATGCCGGACGTATCCGTCGTCTAAACCAACGATAATCAACTACGCGAAATCTCGTTTATTCTTGCCGAAAATACGGCCTGTGCCAAAGTTATGTTTCATTCGCCTCGGTTCGCAGTCGACGCGATTCTATCTGCGTAAATTTCTCTCGTCGTCATATCCCGAATTCTCGATTTAACAATCGTTCGTGTTCGCTGTTTTTTTCGACGTGCAGAAAACAAATAAATTTCGTAAGGTTTCTAATTTACGCGAAGGGAGGCATTGATTCTTCTGGCTTGTCTCCATACATTTCACTTTTCAAGTAGATTCGGCGCAACGCGACTAAGAAGCGACGCTTTCGAAGCTTCGTTCGCGGGTAAATCGCGATAAAAATCGTCGCTGGCACGAGAGGCGACGCGTCGAAGTTTTATAATGTTATATTGCTCGCGGGAGAAGCGAAGTAAACAGAGGCAAGTTCGAAACGCTGATCGATGGCGTTTCTAAACGCGCCTTTCGAACTTTCCGGGAAATATGAACTTCTTTCCTTCTCTATTCCAGGTGGTCCTTACCTCGTCGTTCGCCTCTTCTCGCGAAACTTTCCTCGAGGAAAGTTCACGTCCTCCTGTTTAATGTTTAATCGG